CTAGAAACAAATACACCAGTTCTATGCTCATCAGGGCCACCCGCATGAACGGAGATGCCCAACGGCTGAGCCAACCAGAGATCCAATCGCCGGGACTAAAGCCGGCACAAGCAGAAATAATCCCAGCCACCAACACATGCGGATAAATGATGTGTGATGAGAAAAAACATTCAACATAAATGAAAATGTAGAATAATTTTCTAAGTAAAAATAAAAATAAGATGACTTGCTGTCACTTGAAATCTAGTAATGGCTAACAGAAATGCCTGTTGCTATCACAAGATAATAATAATAATAATAATAATAATAATAATAATAATAATAACTAGTAGTAACATATGATAATTTAAAAGTTTTCCAACGTGATTTTCTGATGAATCTTAATTCTTCAGTTAATGATTGAATAAGCTCATGGCGAGTTCTAAGACAATAAAATATCCGTAGAAATTTCCCTATCGCATCGTTAAATATTTGAGCTGAACAACTTTAACAAAACTAGAAAGACCCGTGATAATTTCACGATTTTCCTATTTGAATTTTCTGATGAATCTTAATTCTTCAGTTAATGATTGAATAAGCTCATGGCGAGTTCTACGACAATAAAATATCCGTAGAAATTCCCCTATCGCATCGTTAAATATTTGAGCTTAACAACTTTAATAAAACTAGAAAGACCCGTGATAATTTCACGATTTTCCTATTTGAATTTTCTGATGAATCTTAATTCTTCAGTTAATGATTGAATAAGCTGATGGCGAGTTCTACGACAATAAAATATCCGTAGAAATTTCCTATCGCATCGTAAAATATTTGAGCTTAACAACTTTAACAAAACTAGAAAGACCCGTGATAATTTCACGATTTTCCTATTTGAATTTTCTGATGAATCTTAATTCTTCAGTTAATGATTGAATAAGCTCATGGCGAGTTCTACGACAATAAAATATCCGTAGAAATTCCCTATCGCATCGTTAAATATTTGAGCTTAACAACTTTAACAAAACTAGAAAGACCCGTGATAATTTCAAGATTTTCCTATTTGAATTTTATGATGAATCTTAATTTTTCAGTTAATGATTGAATAAGCTCATGGCGAGTTCTACGACAAAATATCCGTAGAAAATTCCCTATTTCTTTCGTTAAATAGTTGAGCTCAAAAACTTTAACAAAATATTGCAATAAGAATCAAAAATATGAATGCTGTTATTTTAATTATTTTAAGAAGTAAGTGGGTACAAATGAAAAGAAACTGGTGTTAAACACTTCCATCTTGCTTTTTTGCTTTCATTTTCTCGCTGAAACGAACTTGTGTCTTTGATGTCTATTATTCATGAGGTATGAGCAGGAGGCGTTAAATCCTTCCATCTTTCGTTTTGCCGCTAAGACCAAGTGACTGATATCTTTTTCTCTCCACACGATCAAAGCAGAAGTGTCCACTACTTATCAGGTATTATCAGGAAATATTAAACACTTCTAACGTCCTTTTTCTTTCACTGAAACCAAGTAGAGTTTCCGATATGTCTTGTTTTTCCACGCAATCAAAACTCTTATTTATGAGGTAATGGCAGGGCGTAACGGTCGTGCGAACTAACGAAGGAACTAGAAAAGAAGGAATACACCCACAAGTTGGCGACATATGTGCACTGGAAGATATGCAAGAATCACAAAATCGATACCACTGAGAGATGGTATGAACACCAACCAGACATGATTACCCAAAATAACGATGTAACTATCCTCTGGGACATGCCAATTCAAATTGACAGGGAAATAAAAGGCAACAGACATGATATTATCATAAAAGACAAGAAAATTCAGGAAGTGTATATTTATTGACATAGCAGTAACATCTGAGAGAAACGCCTCCATGAAAATTATCGAGAAATTGTCGAAATACAATGACCTGGAGATCGAGATTAACAGGATGTGGGAAATGAAGACTGAGACTGTACCAATAGTAATCGGAACACTGGGACTCGTGAGAAAAGGAATGGACAATTTTAGTAACAGTGTCCCAGGTAACATCAACATACAAGTTGCCCAGAAGATCGCCATACTAGGAACATCCCATATGCTAAGAAATGTGCTATCAGTTAAATGACAATTATCCTATAGGGCCTAAGAACCATAGTTTGGACCCGGCTCTACAGGATGCAAAGCATAATATATAATATACCATAATAACAATAATAATAACAACAACAACAACAACGAGACCACCCATAGACTTCCTTTTGAAAGAAGTTCATGATACAAAATGTTGAGATAAAAATATCAATTTTATTATTAATTATATATATTTTGATTCGTATATGCAATACAATTTATTGTAACACAATTAGTATTACTCTCATTATAGAATATTAGTTTGCTCAAATGCAATAAGAAATTGAAAACGGAAACCGTTCGTATATTGATTCCCCGAATGACAATTAAGTCGCCAGAAGTGGAAAATATTCCCCTTAAACATAGTAAAAATGTTAATTGTTTAGAGTGGAACTGCAAACTGATATCACACTAAATGCCTTTCCATTCAAATAATAGTCGACGCTGGGTAGCAATTTATACCAATTTTACTATTTAACATATAATAATGTTTAAAGGTAAAGGTCATTGAAAAAAAAAGCAAAAATAATCAACAATAATCTACTTAGGGAGATTCATATCTAGTAAAATAACATAAAGTATCGATGCCTCCTATTTGTGCACTAAGTTTCATTTCTTCCTAGATAATTCTTTCAAATAGATTTAGATTTTTATTAAACATAATTTTTTCTTCCTCACATTTATTTTAAAATATGTAACGGCGGCAAACCAGCGTGCATTTATTTATTTATTTACCATCAAATCATGTTACATAATTTTCCAGATATACATATTATACATTTTACCAAATTGGTTGCCAAAATTAGAGATATATCTTATAAAAAAAGTGTAGTGCAGTGAATTATATATATATATATTTTGTGAAATGTATATTTAAATTTATTAAATAATGTTGTTATAACGTATTGTGAATATTTAATATTTTTCCAAACATAGAATTTGAAATCTAACAGACAATGTATAGTTTATATAAGAATGTGCATCGAAAACAAATTTACCTATTAAAAATGCCGTAATGACTGAAAGATGGCCCCTAGCTCAAGAACTCGTTGTCTACTTTTAATGAAATTTGGCATTGCATTTGGCAGGGGATCTAGGTACAAAATTTTCATAAATTGGTTGGTGTATTATGCACCGTCTACGCTGTATCCCGGGAACATGCTCACATACTTATCTACATAAAGGTGTCCATAAAGTTTGTGTGCACTTTAAAAAAATTATAACTTTATTTGTATTTGCGATAGAAATAATTTGTAAAAAGCTTGCAAAGAAGTAAATCTATATTTTTTTAAGGTTTTATTGAAATTTTATTTAAGTTTCTACATCTCCTCCATCACTTTTCTATGGATGCAACACTTTCATCGCTGATACATGGCCTCCAGACCATGCCTTATCATGGACGAAGCCTGTCTCTTTAAAAATTTTTTCATCCATTTAGCAATAGTGTTCCTATGAGGTGGTTCTTTATTGTATTCAATTCTAAACTTTTTTGTACAGCAATAGATTTCAGTTCAGCCGGGTTAAAGGACACAGTTTATTTTTTTCCTCAGTTGAAGCCATGGATCAAATTGATTCTGGAAAAAGAAAATATTTTTTACTTATCTAAAGATTGTTGCAAATTTTGTGGTAAAGAATTATTCAATAACTATACTTAAAACTTGGTACATTAAACTTTATAACATTTTTTCAGATTATTTCTATCGCAACTACAAATAAAGTTATAATTTTTTTAAAGTGCACACGAACTTATGGACACCCTGTATATACATAAAAGATCCTAAAACTGCAAACTCTGCTTGGAGGAAAAAATATCGATAATTGGCTTCCTAGACCAAAACAAACTACTAAATAAATGATCAGAACTCATCTCAAAATGCAGACACGAAAACAGATTTTTACTACGTTAGTTAACAATAGAAAACTAAACAAAAACACCTTGTAAAATATCAACATGAAAACTTCAAACTTATGCGCTATAGAATGTATATGTACTTTGTTTACTATACTTTGTTATGGACACAAATAATTGCGTAAATGCTCTGTTTATAATAAACAGTATTCCAAAATTTACCGGCCTGAAAATCTGAGAAAATACTTAAATATTTGTGTCTATATAAATAAAATATAAGCATAAAATATATTAAAATAAGTGTCCATTTCGTAGTGTGTGACGTCATTTGTTTACATTTAAATACGCTTCGAGCAGACATGGACGTTCGAGGGAAATCATGGAAAAATGTAGTTTAAAAGCAGTAAAATCGATCTTGCTAACCAGACTCTCTTCTATAGATAAACTTGTATAGCACGTCAGGCTATATGACGGTTCCGAGGACACATATTTCCCATGGAAATTTCTCGGGCGATCTCGGAACCATTATATAACCTGACGTGCTATATCAGTTTAGCTAAAGAGGAGCGTCTAGTTAGTAAGGTCGATTATTGCTTTTAAACTACAATTTTTCCATGATTTCCCCAGAATGATCATATCTGTTAATACATATCTGTTAACTGTTAATACTGTTTATTATAAACAGAGTATTTACTTAAATATTTCTGTCTATATAAATAACATATAAATAAAATATCTTAAAATAATTGTTGGACTTCGTCTATTTCGCAGTGTGTGACGTTATATGTATGTATATATATATATATATGTGTGTGTGTGTGCGGGTGATAGAAATTATTAGCATGATTTGAGATTACAATTAAGTAGTTCATCGAGTCTAGAAGAAATGTAGAAAGCACTGGACGGCCGTTTAGTCTTATATTTGGGACTAATATGCAATGCGCATCCACTACCGAGAATTAAAACCCTGACAGTTAGTTTATCAGGCAAACGTCATGCCAACTGAACCAACGGTAGCGAGTCGTACGTTTTCAGTTTATATTAGATACCCACTCTACAATAACTTTCCATATTGTCATTCGATATCTATCTATCTATCTATCTATCTATCTATCTATCTATCTATCTATCTCATTCTGCTCATATCTATCTCAGTTCATATCTATCTATCTATTTATCTATCTATCTATCTATCTATCTATCTATCTATCTATCTCAGTCTTTTCATATCTATCCATCTATCTCATTTTGCTTATATCTTCTATCCTATCTCAGTCTATCTATCTATCTATCTATCTATCTATCTAACTCAGCGTCATATAAGAAGAAAATGAGTGACTACCTTTTCTCATGTTTCCTAGAAATATCAATTGTCTCTTTCTGATTCGATGTATGTCATTTTGGTTCCATTTCACCTTTGACCTCATTGTTCTCTTGCTGGTTCTTGAATGAACTTTGAAGATCAAAGCTAGAGTATGAATGTTGGTGCCTGAGTGATCTTTTTCCTCTCACCATTGCTCCTTTGAGAAGACATAATGGGTCTGACACAAAATGATTTTAACCTGTTCTCTTTTTAGCTAAATAACTCAAAGGGTTTTTCAGTGATTCTTACGACAAATGGTTTCAAGATGGCTAAACGTCTTATCTGAAAACCTGGAAAAAGCAAAAAAAAAGTGGCTTTTAGCATGAAATATTTCATGGGATGCATAATTATGCTGTTACACGACTTAGACAATTTTGCTGTTACACCCAGTAACTCTCTTACACTCGTACAACAACCACATTCACTAACCTCGGGTTATGAGAATAATTAAAAATAAAAAAATTCTCCGTCCATAGTATTCCCATCATCCTTCTGTAGGACTACATCTGTGTGGCCCCCTTCCTTACACTGCCATATAGAAGGACTTTTCTACTCTTAGTAAAGGACAAAATATCTGCTTATAGGCATATTGGGTTAACTTAGATGCTAAAACTTGCATCGGAAATTTAACAGAAAAACAAAGCCCCTCCCTCATATACACAGGAAAAAAAATAGCGGATACAAAACGTAACTAGATCCATTTACCAAATTCCAGATAATGTGACGCCTCCAAGATATTTTTGGCAGGAATGGCGAAGACCTTAAATGTTTTCAATGGCGAATCCGCTGAATAAAACCAAATAGGCACAAAAATGACATCTAAAATAATGAAAAACATTTTTAAAGAAAATACAGGCAAACATTTCAACGAATTAGTGAATGTGTTTGTTTAATAACAGCAAGACACGACGATAAATCTAAATGAATACACACACACACACACATACATGTATGTATATATATATATATATATATCGTGTACCGTTTCTCTCTCGCTTGCTGTTATATTCTTTCTTTCTATGTTCACGCTTTCTCTCGCATTATCCCGCCATTTTTTCCAATGTCATTCTTCCTTTTCCTAGGTTTCTAAAAATGGGCGCCTCTTTTGAATACGATGTCGTTCTCTTGCTTTTTTCGCTCGATTTCATATAATTTCCCTTTTTTCAGCTCTTCTCTGTCCCAGTTCTTTTTCTTTTCTCTTTCTCTTTCTCATATCCTCATTCTCTTTTCCTCTCCTTTTTCACTTTCTCTCGCAGTATCTCTCTCAATTCGTTCTGTGGTTTTTTTTCTCGGCTTTCCTACGTTCTAAAATCTCTCTCTCTCTCTCTCTCTCTCTCTCTCTCTTTCTTACAATATCGTTCTCTTGTTTTTTCGCTCGATTTAACATGTCTTTCCATCTTTCAACTCTTTTCAACCCGTTCCTACACTTCTTCGCTTTCTTCTTTTCTCCCTTTTCTTCTCGCTATCTCTCGCATTGTCTCGCAATTTTTCTTTTCCTTTCATGCTTTCGAATATGTGTGCGTCTCTTTCTCTCTCTCTCTCTCTCTCTCTTTTACAATGTCCTTCGCTTGCCTTTCCCCCTCTTCTCCCTGCCACTCTCTTTCTTTTGACTATTTTACCCCTCCCTTATGCCACTCTCCCTTTCGGCTCTTCCTTTTTTCTCAATTTCTCTCACACTGTCTCTCTCATTTATTTTCTAAAACGTATCTCTCTCTCTCTCTCTCTCTCTCTCTTATAATGTCCTTGGTTTGTCTTTCTCTCTCTCTCTCTCTCTCTCTTTCAGTACTTCCTATCTTTTCCTCTTTTTTTCTCTCTCTTTAAGATTTGGTGTCTTCCCTCCCTTTCCTTTCGGAAATGTCAGATTCTCTCTCTGGAGTTCGCATGTCTGTCGCTTTCTCATCCTTGTATTTCACAGTCTCTTTCTACTCTCCCTCCCTCTCTCTCTCTCTCTCTCTCTCTCTCTCTATTCTCCTACACTTTCTACCCACCTTCTCTCTTTACTCACTTCTTTCTCTGCTCTCCCTCTCTCTCTCTATTCTCCTTCTCCCCTCCCACTCTTTCTAATCTCCTACTCCTTCTACCTTCCTTCTCTCTCTGTACCTCCTCATCTATCTACTCTTTCTGCTCTTCTTCTCTTTCTACTCTCCTTCTCTCTCTATTCTACTTCTCTTTTTACGCTACCTCTCTTTCTATTTTCCTACCTTCCTTCTCTCTCTACTCTTCATACTCTCCTTTTCTCTATATTCTTTTTCTCTTTTTATTCTTCCTCTCTTTCTACTCCCCTTCTTTTTCTATACGCCTTCTCTTAATAATCGCATTCTCTCTCTTTTATCCATTTCTCTCTATTCTCTTTTTATACTCTCCTTCTTTCTCTGCTCTCCTCTTTCTATTCCCCTTCTCTATCTGCTCTTCTTTTTTCTCGGCTATGCTTCTCTTTCCACTCACATTCTCTTTCTATTCTCCTTCTCTTTCAACACTCCTATCTATCTCAGTCTGTTTATATCTATCTATCTACCTATCTTTCTTTCTATCTACCACAATCTATTCATATCTATCTATCTATCTATCTATCTATCTACAAATATGAATTGTTCTGGTAATTTATTTGTCTATCTATCTCAGTCTTTTCTTATCTATCTACATATCTATCTTCTTTCTATCTACCATCTATTCAATCTATTCACTATCTATTCATATCTATCTATCTATCCATTGTTCTATTTATCGATCTATCTATCTATTCATCCATGTATCTACCAATATGAATTGTTCTGGTAATTTTATCTGTCTGTCTATCTCAGTCTGTTTATATGCATTCATTCATCCAGTCTTTCTATCTATCCATCTATCTTTCTTTCTATCTACCACAACTATTCATATCTATCTATTCATCTATCTATCTATCTATCTATCTATCTATCTATCTATCTATCTACTAATATGAATTGTTCTAGTAATTTATTTGTCTATCTATCTCCAGTCTTTTTATATTCATCTATCTGCCCATCTTTCTTTCTATCTACCACAATCTATTCATATCTAACTCATCTATCCATCTATCTATCATTCATTCATCTATCTATCTATCTATCTACTAATAGGAATTGTTCTGGTAATTTATCTGTCTGTCTATCTCAGTCTTTTATATGTATCTATACCTATCTTTATTTCTATCTACCACAATCTATTCATATCTATCTATCTATCTATCTATCATCTATCTATCTATCTATCATCTACTAATATGAATTGTTCTGGTAATTTATTTGTCTATCTATCTCAGTCTTTTCATATCTATCTACATATCTATCTTTCTTTCTATCTACCACAATCTATTCATATCTATCTATCTATCTATCTACTAATATGAATTGTTCTGGTAATTTATTTGTCTGTAACTAGTCTTGTTTATTTTCATATCTATTTACATATCTATCTTTCTTTCTATCCAGCCAATCTATTCATCATCATCTATCATTCATCATAATATGAATTGTTCTGGTAATTTTCATCTATCTCATCTATCTATCTATCTATCTATTCATCTACTCTATGAATCCATCTATCTATCCATCTACTAGCATATCTGTTCTGTAATTTCCATCTGTCTGTCTATCCCAGTATTTGTATCTATCTACCTATCTTTATTTCTATTCATATCATCAATCTATTCATATCTATCCATCTATCTATCTATCTATCTATCTACTAATATGAATTGTTCTAGTAATTTATTTGTCTATCTATCTCAGTCTTTTCATATCTATCTACATATCTATCTTTCTTTCTATCTACCACAATCTATTCATATCTATCTATCTATCTATCTATGCATATCTATCTATCTATCCATCTATCTACTAATATGAATTGTTCTAGTAATTTATTTGTCTAACTATCTCAGTCTTCTTTTCCATATCTATCTACATATCTATCTTTCTTTCTATCTACCACAATCTATTCATATCTATCTATCTATCTATCTATCTATCTATCTATCTATCTATCTATCTATCTATCTACTAATATGAATTGTTCTGGTAATTTATCTGTCTGTCTATCTCAGTCTGTTTTATATGTATTCATTCATCTATCTTTCTTTCTATCTACCACAATCTATTCATATCTATCTATCTATCTATCTACTAATATGAATTGTTCTGGTAATTTATTTGTCTAACTATCTCAGTCTTTTCATATCTATCTACATATCTATCTTTCTTTCTATCTACCACAATCTATTCATATTCATCTATTCATATCTATCTATCTATCTATCTATAATATGAATTATCTATCTATCTGTCTGTCTATCTGAATTGTTTTATGTAATTTATCTGTCTGTCTATCTCAGTCTGTTTATATGTATCTATCTATCTATCTATCTATCTATTTCTATTTCTATCTATCTACTAATATGAATTGTTCTGGTAATTTATTTTCATATCTCAGTCTTATCTATCTATCTATCTATCTTTCATTCTATCTATCTATCTATCTATCTATCTATCTATCTATCTATCTATCTATCTATCTACTAATATGAATGAATTGTTCTGGTAATTTATTTGTCTAACTATCTCAGTCTGTTTCATATCTATCTATCTATCTATCTTTCTTTTTCTATCTACCACAATCTATTCATCATCTATCTATCTATCTATCTATCTATCTATCTATCT